GGTGTACCGAGGTGCACCCACAATTGCTCGCGCGGCTGCGTTCTGGACGAGTTGAAGTCTCCAAATACTCTTCAACGGCTGCCCCATGTAGAGCACATTGCAGTAGTCCAGTCTTGAGGTCACGAGGGCGTGAGTGACTGTTGCTATAATCCTGGCTTAATTTATGTTATCGCAAAAAATGGAAGCCAAAATACTGTTTGAATGCTTTTAAGGGGAGTGGTAAAATAATATGTTTGGCAGAGTAAAGTGGTGCTACCAATAGAAGACATGGTATGTTCAAGCTACTCATTGATTCCAGATGCTTCTTTAGATTCTATTGACTGGAAATGAAGTGGCCTGGGAGCAGTTACCTCACATGGGATCCATGGTGCCAGTGGCAAATTTAGATTTGGGCTGGGTGTTTGCTTCTGGAACTATATGATGCTACTATAAAAACTGGATGTTTGGTTATGGAACTATATGGTGGTATTGTAGCAAATTATAAAATGATCTGCTAGTATAGTTATGTATCTTTGCAATATTGTCCAGATGTGTTTTCCATGTAATCTTCTATTCACAGGCTGCAGTTGCTTCCTTACCATACGGAACATTTTTGTCATCTTTTGCCCGGCAGGTACTGGCCGAACCATTCACTTTTATTAATTTGTTTAGATTAACTTATTAGCTCATATTGATATTATGCATTTGTAATCTCAAATTTTACAGTTTGTTTTCCATGCGTATATTGGTGGATTCAGTTTTGCAAACAGGAATTCCATAAAAATGCCAATAGAGAATGGTGAGAAAATTGTAAGTATATGTGGCAGATTGCAACAGATTTTTTTTCCCAGTGTAGAGAATAGGTGTATTTTCATGGTGTCACATTTTTTTGTTTACAGGAATTTCCATGGAAACAAGCATTTCTCTCTGGTGGGAGCATCCCAGGTTTGGCCTTGTTAGGAGTATGTATTGCCAATTTCTGTCTAAGTTTTGTTTTCTAATTATGCTTTTCTTTCAAGGAAAAGTTGCATGGATTCACGTTTGGAATTATTTGTAAATTTATAGAAGGTGCTGGTAATGTGATCTAAAGGTTTTCCAACTTTTTTTTATTTTTATTTTATTTTTGAATAGACACAAACAAACAAGACACAACAAACACCATAAAAATATATTCCATTACAAATTATAA